CTGCACCCTGATCCCTAAACCCTGAACCCTACCTTGATCCCTAAACCCTGAACCCTAAACCCTGAACCCTAAACCCTAAACCCTGAACCCTCAACCCTGACCTAAGCCCCTAAACCGTAAACCCTAAACCCTAAGCCCCTAAACCCTAAACCCTAAGCCCCTAAAACCCTGAACCCTCAACCCTGAAGCCTGTGGCTGGCCAGTCCAGGAGGTTCAGATCCTCGCGAGCCGAACGGACAAGACGGAAGTGCAGCTGCAGGCACCGCTATTGGTGGCCATGGTGGTTTAGGGTTTAGGGTTTAGGGTTTAGCGTTTAGCGTTTAAGGGTTCAGGGTTTAGGGCTTAGGGTTCAGAGATGGTGGTGTACCGGAGATCAAGTCTTATCCCAGGCAGTTCAGTTGTAGGAGAACCACACTTAGGATGCTTATATCTGTACTTGTAACCTGCTGACCGAGTCATCAGGTCCTGTTAAGTACAAGTACTGGGCCGTTGTTGGCTACAATTTTACAGTTTTGTTGTACAGAATCCAATCAGGGTTAACAATGACCATTTTTAATATAGCCGCAACAGGGAACCAACCCTAAACCCTAAACCCTAAACCCTAAACCCCTAAACCCCAATTTTTAACATAGCTCCAACAGGGAACCAGAGTAGGTATCCGGGAATCCAGACCCCCAAAAGGATCTAAAAAATAGATCCCCTAATTAGGGACCCTAACTACTAAAGGGTACTTTATAGGAACCCCCTTAGGGGATCTATTTTTTAGATCCTTTTGGGGGTCTGGGAATCTGGGACCGCACTGAGGCCTCGGTGAACGCTATCTTGGCCCAGCTGAGCTCCGTCCAGGTCTCGCAGCAGGCAAAGGAAAGCGTGCTTAGGGCTTTGGGTTTAGGGTTTAGGGTTTAAGGGTTTAGGGGTTTAGGGTTTAGGGCTTCGGGTTTAGGGTTTAAGGGTTTAGGGTTTAGGGTTTAGGGTTTAGGATTTGGTGAGACGACTGGTGCGAGTTCATGCCACCCTAAACCCCAAAAGCCCCAAAGCCGTAATTCGCATCGATTTGGCTGGCCGTCCTTGCTCTCAGCACATTCGGGGAAGGCGTGCCAGGTAGGAGAGGTGGATCCAGTGGGCAAGGTTATATTACAATACAAGAGGATAAAGTGTAATAGGTTAGAATGCTACCTACTATATTATGAAAAAGCTGGAAATAGCCTCATATAATAGCATAGGTATTAGTCTCGCAAGAGCACTTTGATTTATCAACACCTACATGGCAACAAAGAGCCACAGTGAAGGGGTTTAGGGTTCAGGGTTTAGGGCCTAGGATTCAGTAAGACCCTGCAGCCTTTGGCGTGTTCTCTGCTGTTGTTGCCTTTGCGGCCCACTGATCACGTGAACCCGACAAGACGAAGAAGTAGAGAGGTTGCGGGATGCATTCAACAACCCTAAACCCTGAACCCTAACTCTAAACCCTAAACCCTAAACCCCAAACCCTAAA